TGGCAAACATGGGAACGAATGTGAAGTTCCCGTGTGGCATCATACCAATTGACGATGCGTGTCCGCTGGCAGCCTGCGCCGTTGACACCGAGTGATGATGCAAGAATCGGTGGTGTTGGTGGGATGCATTATGCTCATTTGCCTTTGCTCGATTCGCTTTCGCACGTCGATTTTGGAACCATACCTAAATCAATTAAAACGTAAAATGAAAAAGGTTAAATGTTTGGTCGAGGATTAATAATAAACACATGTCGAGACCCTTAAATCATCGATCGATAAAGATTTGTTGATCAAGAGGGGCGTTATACCTGAACTTCACGATTCGTCATATTCAATTTCTTGGCAAGCTTTTCACGTACATCGTAACTTGGCGTGTCAGTTTGATCGAACATCGCAACCAAATCTTGCAATTGTTCCTGAGTGATTCGCTTGCGTTTTACTTTTGGAGGCATGGGTTGATTATTTGATTGATCATTGCTAGTATTCGCGGTGTTTGAATTTGGCGGGAATGCGAAGTTTGACTTTGTCGGGGACTTAATTCCAGGGGTCTGTGGTGGTGTAATTATATCAGGATTACCATCTGAAGAAGTAATAGCATGTCCAGGTCCCGAAGTTCGATTCACCGAACCCCTGCGAGAAGATGGGATCGCAGAGGACGATCTTCTTGACGTGGTTGCCGCCGCCTTTTCGGTATTAATACTGGTTCTGTATCCATTGTATGCCAAAGTAGAAGGTGATGAGGAACTTGAATTTTTTGAAATTGGAGAAGCCGGCATTGATTGAGAAGTAATGTGGTCATCGGAGGAGACCTGTGGAGAACTGGTTTCATTACAATAACTGATGATAGGCGAGCGATTGAACGTTAAATTTGGAGACGAAAATGAAAGACGCAAAAAGTTTGACCACCTTGTTACATTTAAGGTTAGTCATCAGAAGAATTTTTGATATCCATACCAATCTATATTACTCGGTGAAGCAGGATTGGAAGGCGACATAGTGTAAGAATGTTGTTCTTCAGGTTCAGGATTTAACAAAGCATTTATTGAAACGCCTGAAGTTCGTCGAGAGGCAACGGGAAAGTGATCATAAGCGATGACGTTGGACATTTTTACAAACTTTTAATCTGATAACTTTAAATAGGAAAATATGAAAAGTAGAAAGTTAAGAGACGCAAGTTAACGCGCACCGAGACGTCATAAAGGGAGAGAGAGAGAGAGAACTTACAATACAATCGAAGATTCTGATGAATGCGTGAACTTCCAAGTTGATAATAACTAAGGATTAAAAAGAAATAAAAATTCGTTAAAATAAAACTTTGAAGAGAGGATAATAATAAATAAGAACTCAATCTAATAACAAAGCGGGATGGTTTCTCTTCGTTAAATCAAGTAAATTGTAAGTTTACAAGACAAAACTTGAAATCAAAGGTATAAATAAAAGAAACAAACAAAAACAAGCTATCCCAATAAAGAACAAAGAAAAAAAAATGATTTTGAAGTCTCAAGTATAGTTTAGTACAAATACGTATTAAAGGTTCAAGCGTATGTTCATATACTTACATAAGTCGTTATAACGTTTCAGCAATTTATTGCCTTCTTTTTTATTATTATTGTTTATTTTATTTATTTATTTTTTTTTTTTATAGGTGGAGGTCGTTAAGTAGTTATTTATAAGATTTATCAAACACAAGAGGTACGAGGGTTCATTCAGAGTAGTACTTTAAAGAGTTAAAAAACTTTTTAAAGTTTTCTTGAACAAATAGTCGTATAAGAATATAATAAAGATACTTGAAATTCTTCACAAAGCGTAACAAAAAAGGTTTGAATTTATAAGGAAAAAAGAGAAACAAGCAACCGGGAGAACAACTAATAAAAAAAAGGGAAATGAAAGACAAAGAGGTTTTGATGATGTGTTAGGAACACAAAAATTTCTGTAAAAAGTTAAAGAGAATTTATTTGTTGTGTAGCTATTTTTCAATAGAGGCTTTTTTTAGGAAAGGATTTGTAGACGTTAGCTGAACTATAAAGAATTTATAAAGTTACACATGCAGTGTAACCGTAAACAAGAAAGGAAAATTGAAAGGAGGCTCAATCGTCAGAATATATAAATTATAAAATTTTTTTTTTCATTATTGATAAAAATACTCTTTATAATATAATAATATATAATAATTAATAATATAATGTAATATATAAATAAATAAAGTGAAGCCACATTTTAAAATAAAGACATTATTAAATGCAAAAAAGCTAGAAAAGTCAAAACAATAAGATACAAAATAGTTTGAAACTGTTACACCTGAGTTTTAAAAAGTTAAACATGATGACGAAAAGTAAGTTTTGAACCAAATAAGGCTTTATATAAATTATGTGGAAAGGTTTCTTTGGTTTTTTTGTCTGCCTGACAGGGAATTCGGAAATGGCCGCGTGTAATCATCATAAATCAGCAAAACCGAGGTGGCTATTTTTATTTTATTAAATTTAAATTAAAAAATAAAATATTATTATGACAAGTTTTAATCTCGATAAAAAAAATATATATATATCGGAATTATGATTGGATAATTTGAGAATGAATTTGCTCAGTATGTCATTATTAAATATTCATACTTGACCAAAATAGGAAAATCAAATGAAAGGGGAATGACAATGAAGGGCAGTTAAAAAAAGGAACAACGAAATAAAATCGAAAATAATGAATGACTTTATTTGATTAAGAATCATAAAAAAAAAAAGAACAATTGTTCTATTTTCTTTGTGGAATGATTATAATGATTAAAGACATCTTTCCACTTTTGGACGCAAATTAATTCAACTTCCGTTCTATTTGTGGGTGAAAATAATTTGTGAGCTTTTATGTTATATCATGTGTGCATTGCATAATTAGATAATGAAACTATGAATTTGTTAAATGATAATGAAATCGGAGTAAAATTTCAGACTTGTTTGTTTTTATTGTTTTTTTTTTTTTTTTTTTTTGTGTGTGCTCTTAAAAGAATCATCATGGTGACCAAAAAGGTGAATTATAATAATGAAAAATCCACATCAGAAAAGAATGTTGGTCTTTAATTCTATCAATAACAAAAAGGGATCATCTATTGAATGTGAAAGCTGTAACACTTGGAATCCTTTTCATTATGACAAACGAAATTGGTTACAGCCGTAACGTAAAACATGAATTGGCTGTGTGTGTTTTTTTCAATTCTGCGCAATTTATCCACGCCTCAGAACGTAAGAAATCTACGACGTTAAAGGGAATTAAGATAGAGAGATACGGCTTCAACGAAAAAAAATAATTCTACGCCATGAGGCAGTGTGGAATTGTGGCTATCACCCCCAAAAAACCAAGGCTGCGCCTGCTCGTAATTTTGCTTTTCCTCTATTGGAATGAAATTTAAATAAACCTGATTTATTAATGCTGTGTAATAAAAGTTTAAAAAAAAAAATTTATAAATGTTATTGTTAAATAAAAATAAAAAGACCCTGCTTTTCAAAAAATCTCATTTTCATTCAAAACGGATTGAATCAAGTTTAGTAATCTGTATCTGTTAAGGGAAATTCTATTTAATCAAAAAAAGAATGAAATACAAAAAAAAATTTAATTCAAAGTCAGCCTGGTGTAACCAATTTACGCATTGCATATTTATCATAATGACTTTATTATTTTTCAATTGTTTTCCTAATTTAAAGTATTAATTTATTTTAGTCCCATTCCTTTCATTTACCATTTTTTTTAAACACAGATTTACCAAATCTAACATAAAACTTTTTTTTTTTTAAAGTTTGTGTATTACAACTACCCCTTTTCTTTATTATTATAATTGTTACTTTCTTGCTAAATTTAATTCCTATAGAATTAAAATTTCCTTTTTTTAAAAAAAGAGCACAAAATGACAGTTTGAATGACAAATGACAAATCTTTTTGTGCGTCAATTTTTTTTTAAAACCTTTTAATTCTTACACAAACCCAATCAGGCTAAGGTAAATGATGTAATTTTTTTAATCAGCAAAAACAGAAATATAAAAATATGATTAGATTTAGTAAATTATTAATTAAATTAAATTGAAATGATTAATCAAGTAATTCCCGGCAAATCCATCATTATTTTTTTTATTTCATAATGAATGTAATGTTGAACAATATTTATTTGGAGAAACTTGTATAATATCTTTATAAAACCCTTCTCCTTGAAAAAAAAAAATATGCATGTTGGGATAATCAAAATTCAAACACAGTAACCTTAATTATATTTACATAAACAGTAATCTTGCATTCTGCCTTATTTTTGGTTCCTGTGACAAGCATAGCGAACAATCTGCAGATGATCTCTTGATCATGTGAATTTCTGGCCGGCATTAGGGTAATCTCGGGTTAAGAATGTTTTGAAAACCTAATTTTTTTTTTCATTTCATTTTTTTTTTTCCCAAACATTTACGCGTTTTTATTCACAAATGACGTTTCAACAATTAACAAATGCCCCCCCAATTAATTTCGAAAAAGATATCCTTTCGGAATACGAAAAACTAAGCTCTCACATTAACAAGGTTAGGGATCTCTCTTTTTTTTTTGCTCCTAAACCAATATTGTATTTTAAAATAAAAAATGTGATATTTCCTTAGATTAACGTAACAATTACACAAATGAATACAAGTGATATCGTGATTCTTGTTGACAAACTTCGTGCATTGGAAAAAAAAATTGGGCTTGTATATACTTTGTTTAAAGCCTCTGTATATTCTTTGATTACTGCCTCCGATCAAGAAAATATGAATAATATTGAAGAAAGTACAACAAATAGACCACCAATATTTTAGCTTTAAAATAAAATAAAATTAATATGTAAAAAGGGAGCTCAATCACTTTCTCGTGTTTATCTTTTAATAATATATTACAAAGTTAAATAAAAAAAAAAATAATAATAATAATAAAAAATTGAAATTAAAGTATCGCGAGGAATAAATAAATATTATATTATGGTATAGAAATATAATATATGGATATTACTTTACAAAATGAGTTAAAGAGATAACCAAACTTAAACTAAAATTAAAAAAAAATAATCTAAATTATGATGATTTTGATGGTGATGTTGGCGATATGATAGAGAGTTCAACTTCTTCCCCTTCACCTCTTAATCGTCTATCATCACCAGATCTCTGTGATCTATCGCTGATCGATCTATTTGGTGATGTTGATCGACTAGGACTTGGAGAGACACGAAATAAAGTACTTGGTAATGTTTGACTGCGATTTAAAGAATGAGTTGATAAAAGTGATGATCTATTATTATTTACAGTCGTTATGGTATTTGATCGGTAATGTGAGGGTTTTCGAGCTTGCGTTGGACGATATACTGATGTTCTAAATTTTTCAAATGAACTTTCTTCGCTAGAAAATGCAAATCCTGTAAATGATTGACGCTTTCCTGATTGCATGTGATAAAGTTGTTCTTCGGCTCTTATTGATGCGGTTCTTCCCTTTTGAAGTGTCGTAATTCTCTGTAATTTTGGTGCCTCACGTTCTTTTGTAATTGATTGATCACTTAATGAAGTGTCAGATAACGTTGCGTAACTTGTATTGAACGAATCGGTACCTAAAGGACGTACTGAGCTTGTTATGGGTATTTTATCATCTTCTTGTTCCACAAAATCACGCCTTTGTTTAGATAATTTAACCTTTTCACGAATTATATCTGTATCAGTAGGATAATATGATTTGTGAAGGTATTTTACCGTGAACCGTGGTAAAATGCTTATAAAAACTGCCAAAAGTATTCCTAACCAAAAATCTAATTCTGAAAATAATATTAAATCCATTCGGAAAAATCCAATAGAAGCCCAAATGGAATAAAATTCAACCCATACATAAAATGATAGAATACTTATACAAATAACTACAAATGCTAACCACGTCCAATTCATGATGTTTATCCCAACATATAAATTCGTTGTAACTACAACAGCTCCCGCTACCAAAGTACCTAAATCATCCAATCCATTATTTGTTAATCCTGTTGCGTGTGAAGCACCATATTGAAATAGTCCAAAAGGTACAAAGAAACAAACAGCCGATTGATAAATAGCATCCACGACATAAAGCCAAAATTTAGATTTTGTAAAATCTTCTTGCAAGATTCCACGTTTGTACAATTGTGGATATTTCAACGAGATTTTAGCATCAACGTCTTGATCAAATGCACCAAGAAACATTACAGGGAATGCGGTGAACACAAGATTATAAAGCATAATGTATGTATAATCATAAAGATACTGCGCTGAAAAACCTGCCCAAATCTGATACCAAAACATTGCAATTGTCCAAACTATGTTCTTGTAAAAGAAACACGAAATCATTTCAGCAATTCTAATATAAGACCATCGACCATGAACTAATAAAAGTTTTTCCAAAAATTTAAATTGAGCAAAGGCGTAATCTGCAGCCATCGTAGCTTGACGCCCTTCTTCTCCGGCAATACCCACACCGATATTTGCCTCTTGAATCATACTTACATCGTTGGCACCTATACAAAAAAAAATTAAATTAAAATAAACCAATAAATAAATGCTATATTAGATTGATCATTCATCAAATATGGAAATCCAAATTTAAATAAAGATTTCTTCACTTACCATCTCCAATAGATAAAGTCATAACATTTAATCCCTCTTTTACCATACTGACGACTTTAGCCTTTTGTAAAGGACTAACCCGACAACAAACGACACTTTGACATCTCTTACCAAGATCTAAAAATATGGGTTTAATATTCTTATCCAAAGCGTATTTGAGAGTTTCACCATCAATGATAAGAGCATGTTTACTACTTTTATTTTCAAGGTTAGGCCCAAAAAATTTCTTTAGAGCTTCATCTAATTGACGTTGTGCACTTTGTTTATCGGATGCTGTAATAACTATTAAAAGCATGTCTTTCTGTAATAAGTTACAAGCAAAACCAATATTAATGGCAGTCTCCGTCTTGTCACCGGTAAGAACCCAAATTTTAATTCCCGCTTTAGCTAAAGTGGCTATACATTCAGGAACACCTTCCTGAAGACGATCTTCAATTGCAGTACCACCCATCAAAGTTAAAGAATGTTCAATCATTTCACAGGCTTGCTCAATTTTTTCCTCACGGTCATTGATACTTGAAGCAGCCTCTGCATATTTTTTAGCCCATACGTTGTATTCCTCATCTGGTATGACACGATAAGCAATACAAAGTGTACGAAGACCTTCATTGGCGAATACTTCTAAATCAGACAAAGTTTCCTCCCTTAGCTTTATTTGACGATCTTTTTCAAGCCGTTCATAAACCACACTGTCAGCACCTTTGCATAACAAGACAACACCACCTTCAGGAGGTCTTAAAATGACGGACATTCTTTTACGCGTGCTGTTAAATTCTAACACATTTAACAAGGTGAATTCTTTACGTTCACCCAAGATCTCTATAATTAAAGTATCTTGATAACGTTCAAGAAAGGCGAAACCTGCATCTCTAGCACAACCAACAAGGGCTGCTTCATCAGGAGATTGTGCTTTATATTCAAGGTTGAAAGGATTATTTTCATCAGGATGTTCTACAAGAACGGTATGACAAAGAGCAAGAGCGGAAAAGAAGTCCTTTATAGATTTGGATTGTTTATCTTCTGCTTTCAAATCTCGATAAAATTTCGAATCAATAAATGTAAGATTTGATGAAATGTAACGATTATCAAATAATTTGGCCATTTCAGTTAACATTAATTGTTTCTCCGCTTCAAGATCAACATCATCTTTAGAATCCGGCTTTTGATAATTATCTGCAAGCTTGGCACCGCGTGTAGTATCAGTTTCACCTAACCCATAAGATATTCCGTTAATCGTGCACTTACGGAATTCCATAACATTTTGAGTTAAAGTTCCAGTTTTATCCGAAAATATATATTCAATTTGACCTAAATCATCAGATATATTCCAAGTTTTTGGGGTACATGGATAATCAAGTTTCTCATAATACAAATCAACATCAGCGTAGATAAAATACGCCTGAACCGTCTTTACCATTTCAATTGTAATATATAAGGAGATTGGTACAATATTTTGAAATAAGATTAAGCTCACCCTAGATAAATATCGGAATGTATTAAATAACAATAAATCATAAGCAAAGAAATTTATCAAGACAATTAATTAATCTTACCAAAAGGTTATAAAACCACTTGCATGTGCAGTTTCAGCATTACCACCACCTCCTTCAAAAAAGTCTGCAGAACTTTTAGGTTCAAGATAGTAAACCGAATCAGCAATGGCAGAACCTAAACATAATAAGAACAAAATGATGAAATTCATGGTAACCTAAAAAACAAAATAAAAATAAAAAAAATGCACATATATATTTAATTAAAAAAAAATTTAATCCAAATATTTTAATTTTTTTTTAAAAAAAAAAATAATAATAATAAATATCGAGCAATTACTTAAAACTTACATGAAAATTCGTTTCTATTTCAATACGACTTCTCTTACTGGGAGTGTCTCCAGAATTCAACATGATTTTTGTATCTGTGCCAGTAAAAATCACCAAACATATTGCCCATTCAGTATTACGCAATACACAGCCTCTCAATATTACGTCATTAATGGATATTGGTTCTACTTTTTGATTATTTTCGGCTCCCGGTTGATCAGACCAATGTAATACACCAGTATAAGAATATAAATTCGCATGAGGTGGTTCTGATTCCACATAAAAAGAAACACGTTCACAATCGGTTTCTGATTTCAAATAAGCAGTAGAAGGAACGCCATGACGAATTTTAAGATTTGTCTCCCCATCAAGTTCTTTTGTTTCCACATAACAAAGACCATCCGGTTCGCTTGTTGATAAAATTATCATATCAGCAGGAACAGAATCATTGTTCTTTAATTTAATAAAATCACCAACTTTTACATCCTGCCAACGACTTTCAACCCATTTCGCATCAGATTCTTCTAAACCTTCACCTTTATTATCATTGGTACTAGCGCTACCACTCCCACTACCATTACCAGTTCTATAACCTAACAAGCAAAAAAGAAAATTAAATATTTGACTCAAAAATATTTTTCGAGTATTTTGCCCCGTTGGTACATTAACATTGTTCCAATTGTCTAAACGAATTGTTTTTGATTTATTTAAGGAATTATCCTGTGAATGACGTTTCCAATCTTCAAAAGCATCTTTAAAAGCTGTCATTGTGATAATGGAAATAAGTGGTGTTGCAGATAAAAAAGGTTGAACGTCACCTCCAATCATTGGAAATAACTGTAGGACAACTAAAAAAAGGAAATACATATTCGCTACTCTACGGAATTGTTCAAAAAGATTTTTTGGTAAAAAGGTTAATAAGGTATATTTTGAGGTTCGAATTTTATTCGCAGCATATCGTGCTTTTGGTTCTCCATACTGATCTAAATCGGTTTGTGGAAGTGGAGTATTCACGTTTATGCGACGTTTTGGAAGGGTTTGCATTGTTGACGCAGTGGACACACTTCTTTTGTGCCCGGAACCCGAGCTATTCTCAATACCTTCTTCGTCTTGTCCCTTCTTTCGACCAAAAAATGTCATTTTGACTTTTTTTGTATTATAGATAGGTACTTTGTTAAAAAAAAAAGTCACAATCTTAACAACGTTGTCACTCAAGAAAGTGTTTGAGTTTCAATGTCGTCAGATGAAGAGAGAAATAAAAAAGAAGGTGGGTTATTTAGGAGTCGAAAGGAGTTGTTTAAAGAGTGTATCGAATCAATGAGGCTTTGACAATTACAATTATTCCAAATATCCGTAGTTCTTTTTTGAAGTACAAAAACGTGATACCCCTAATTCTAAAGGAGGTAACTGGTAATATTTTTATGCATTAATTATCATTGCATTCCTTTACATTATTCCTTTATATGTAGAAAATAGTGATACATGTTTACACTTGAGATACATTTGTGTCTCGATCATACATTAATATCCGTTGTTTCACCTGGGAATGAGATAATTATTGAAAAATCAATTAATTGTTAATTCGATCTCAAAGCCATGATCTAAGCCAAAACAAATGTTCGGGCCGGATTTACTTCAAAATGCCAAGCCATTTCATTTATTTGTCATATTTAAGAGGGGCTTTGTTTCTTATATAAGTGAACTTGGATTAAAATGCCACGTTGAGATTTTCACAAAAAGTACGTTGATATTTTGAAATTGGATAAATTGTATATTCGAATTACAGAATTATGGAGAAACTACCCCCAACGCTTTAATTTACCTGACGTGATCTCGATGACGTAATACATGTGACTGCATATTGCGTCACTCCCAACTCCTTTATATATACATTCACTATCACATGAAAGATAGACGTTTTTTCATGGAATAATTAAATTTATCGCATCTTATTATCCTAATTCGTCAATTAAAGACCGGTATATTTGATTTTATATTCAATTGATGAATTTGAGGTGATGCTATCAACCCAAGAATTACAACAAAGGAAAAATTCGCAAAGAATAATTTCAAAATTGTTTTCCTATTCAAGGTAAGTTCCGTAGAATTGTAATTCATTTAATTAAAAACTGTAAATAATTGCAATTGAATAAAGACATCTCATTTTAAAAAAAGCAAAATCTACCCATTATCTAAAAATTAACAAGAGCTATTCTAGTTATGCAATTTGACGCGTTATAACATTAAAATTCATCATCTCTTGAAATCTATTCTTAATAGCATGATAAGGTTCTGGAGGTTCTAACTGTTATAGTACTAATATTAATAAAGTTTTGTGAGATTTGCATATCAATTTCTTGGGTGGTGGTTATAATTCGATAATCGTTCAAATTGACCTTTCAACTGAAATTTCAGGGATCTCTATTTTCATTACTCCCCATTGAGGAGCATTCAAGGAAAGGAATGGATCCTTGATGATATTATTTATTGTTACTATTCCGTAATTACTTATTAATGCCTTTTTGCTTTTCTATTAGATGGTCCATAATTTGAAATGATTGCGCTGGAATCACTATATGGTCGCAAAAAATTAAGAATTCGATTCTTGTACCACTGGCATTGATGGACACTTGGTGTCCCATTTAGTGTGAATCATTGTACGACGGAATTCCACCGATTAATCACCATCCTTTTTTTTCTATTAGCATTCGAAAAAAAAAGTCATATTTGAGTGGTGGAATATGAAGTATTACGGGTCAAAGATCATAATCATTTATCCAATTTTCAAGATATTCTGGAATTAAGGTATATGGGTAAGGAAAATTCAATTCTCTGAATAATTCTTTATTGATAGATCCCGCTCTTGCTATTTGATAAAATTATTCCTATGGAAGAATTCGATTGGTGCTTATGTTGTTCACCTTGCAAACCCATTTTTGTAGGTAAGTTCTAATTCAGCTGGTAGTTTTGAAGTTTTAAGAAAATTAGGTCAGCGTATTTGATTAAATATCACGACATAAATTTTCACGTTTATTTACTGCAATGTGGGCATCATGTGTTTTATTTTTTATAACAGAGAAACGGGTATTCCATTCATTCATGACCTTTGACACAAACCGAAACATTTTGGCAGGCGAAACCTCCGAAATTTCCAAAATGTCCGAAATGTCCGAAATGTCCGAATCTACCAAAACCTAAAAAAGGAATCTGATTAGCATATACATTTTAGTATTTATTTGAATGCGCATGTAACTGCAGTTGTTGTTACTGCAGTTTGTTTGTTAAATATCTAATGTCAGGTGAAATTCTCAAACCTCTACGAAAAGAAAAAAAATATTCAGGTGTCAGGCCTGTATTAAACAAGGAAAAAAAGTGTATCAGAAGGAGGCCACTTGTTATAATACATTTTTCATAAAGGTTCATCTCAAATTTTAGAGCTAATAGTTGTTATTAAATGTAAAACAAATATTTTTAAACTGACTTGCTGCAAAATCTGAAATTTCATAAGTAATCAACAAAATAAAAACAAAATTTGATAGCGAAACTGAACATGAAAGCTCAAACTCTCTAGAAAGAATTCATGAGATTGATTATGTATATGTGAAATCTTTTGTTATATGTGTTATTCCTTAACACACTATTGAGAATCCATTTTTTTTTATAAAATTTTTAAAAACATTTACATCTAGGATTTATATACCTCCTTTTAAGAAAAAACTCTCTGGTGAACTTTTTGACTGAAAAGTAATCTATTATAAAAAAGTCAGATTATTAGAAAACTAAAACAATTTTTTAAAAAATTAAAAAGCATGTGATAAATAGACCAACCTTGCAAACAAATCCATTTGCTTTTAAAGAATATTTTAACAGTTTATAAGATATATATACATAATGTATATATTATACATAAGTAAACACAAAAAATTATGATTTTCTTATCTTAGTAATAAATTTATTTACTAATATATATAATTTTTAATTTAGATTTTATAGACGACTCTCACACTTACTTTTCTGGCCATATTTTTCAAAGAAAATAAAAAACTTAGAAGTTCATTTTTAAATAATAAATCCAGTATAAAGAAGGTTTTTTATGATTTTGCTCTATCTTTTCTTACAAGGGAATAACTTATAGAAGTATTACTAAGAAAAAAAAATACCAAATTTGTTCTATATATTATCTTTTCAGCTTAACAAGAAACTGTTCCTTATATGCTATCTTTTTTGATTTTTTCAATCTTAACAGAAACTCCAATAACCTAGAACTTGTTAACAAAGTTTTTGGTTTACAAAAAAATAAAGATATTGAGTTTGAAGTTTTGGATATTTTTAAATTGCAACTATCAATAATATTTTACCTATTACTCTGATCTTAAACAATACTATTATAACATGTAACTTAATAATATTACTAAAGGTTTTATGTCAATTAAAAATAATTTAAAAATTTTGGACTTGAATGAATATAATAGAAGAAGATCTTTGAGATTTTTTACTGTTATCACTAAAGTTATGTCTTTTGCTATTACTAATTTCATTAGATTTACTCTCAAAGAAAAGAATAATAGCAAAATTGTTCAAGTCATTAATAATGTTTTTGCACAAAATAATAAATTTAAAGGTATTTCAGTTTATTATATAAATTTGATATATTCTGTAATTGTATATTTGTAATATCAGATGTAATATTTGCAGTTACGTGATTATTACTAATCTTAAGATTAAGAATTTATCTATTTTACTCAATACAAAACTAGTATGCAATTTAATGAATGAATGATATATGTGATTAATATTTTCTTATAAATAAAACTAGCTCTTATTAGATAAGTCTTTATTAAGTATAATATCACTAAATTCAAAATAACAGCAAGAAAAATATGATAATATGTCTATATATCTCTAAATATATAGAGATTTCTATCAAGTTTGAAATCATTTCTTACAAAATGATTCAGTTCATATGAACTTATGTATTATGACTTCAGAAGAGATCAGTATAAAAATACCTTTTAAATAAAGCTTATTAATCTTCCCTTTGAGACTCTATAAGAAATTTCCATGATATTATATTTGTTATAAAAGTAAAAGCCAATTATATTTCTAGATCTAACAATAATAAATTACGTATATTTGTTATTCTTCATTTTTTAGATAAAAGGACTATGACAAATACTATTTAACAACATTTTGCTTTTGAAAATAAACAATATTTTTAGATTTATCTGACATTAAAAACTATTACAAATATGATAATTTCAATTATCTTGTAATAAAATATTCTTACCTACAAAAGCTTAATGATTATTGTAATGATAAAGATTAAATAAAACCTAAATTAATAACCCAACAGAATTTTTCAAACAGACTTTATAATAATTTAAATTAACAAATTTTAAAAGTTTATTGATAATAGTAAAAACCATTTTTTAACTCATAATTCTAAATCCTACTCTAATACTATAAAGAAAAAAAATGAGAATCAAATATCCTTATCAAAAAAATATCAGTCATATAGTTAACGCTTCAATTCATAACTCATCTAATAATTAAAAAAAATTAGATCAAATATTAGATATACTCTTTAATTTGAAAAAAAATATAATAACTTTAATATTAGAATAGCTAAGTTGTAATTATACTAACATATCCCTTAATCTAGTAATATACTACCTTTCTAATATTAACAAAAATCCAATTATTCTCATTCAACTTTCTATATTTTCAGCTTTATCAGTATCTAAATATCATTTTAACAAAAGACATAAAATTGCTAAGACTTCTAATGATGATTTTTTACACACTTTTATTTTAATCATTAAACTAAATTTTAATACTATAGTTAAGAAGTTAAGAAATAAGTTGCAATTATTGTTAAATAAAAGATACAAATTGATAGAATATTTAAACAAATTGAATAGCTTGTATTAGACATTATCAAAATATAATAATATTTTCACACTTTTAACATACTATTTATAATGATTAATATAACAAATGATTCTTTATACTAATATGTGTCCTAATATAATACAACAAATAATTAATATGTTAATAGTTCTCAAATCAATACTCTTATATCTTTTCTTTTATCTTCATTATATGATCTTCTTTTTTTAAAATAGACAATGATTTGGATACTATAAATAGTGATAATTTGAAAAAAATTATAACAAAAATACAACTATATTTATTATATACAATATTTACTTTTATTTGATAATTTTAAAAAATAGTTTGATTTTAGAAACTTTTCATCTAAAAAATACCAATTTTGTAATCTTAATAGAAACATACATAAATTCTTTCAAACTTTTAAATAATTTTCAAATCCTAATTTTATCTCCCTTTAGAGTACAATTACTAATCCATTTTCAGGTATAGTATTGGCCTTTTAATTAGCAAAACATGATTAAAACATATAGATATAACAATTTTTGGATCATAATAGATATATCTACATAGATTTTTACTTAAAAGGCAATAGCAAATTAAGAGTTTTCTCAGTTTATATATATGATTTTCACGTGAAAACATGAGAAGTATTACAAATTAAATCTTTTGAAATTAATAGATGATAACTTAAAAAAGAGTTTTCATATAATAATTCTATAAATAATCTGTATAAAGAGAGTATACAGAAATAATATGAATATCTAATTGTAATACATAATTATTTTCAAGATAAACATACAGATGAATTTTTAGCAAAAGAAATATCCAATATTATAGAAAGTGTAGAAGTAAAAAGTTTGTAATAATAGTAATTAATGCTGCTGAAAATTGTAAATTTATACGTAAAATAATACAATAAACATATAAACATATTTAGGATATTTGATGTGTAGCATATGCATTTAATTTAATTGCAGCCAATCTTATATGATTTGAAAAAATTAAAGAATGTATTGCTAGTTGTAATAAGATATGTGGTTTTTTCAAATATTCACATATTATAAATTTATTATTTCATCAAAGTTTAGTAAATATTATTATAATCAGTTCTTTAGGATTGCTTAAAGGTTAAAAGTGTGGTAAGGTAAGCAGAAGGTAAAAAATTTATAAAATTATATAAATTGAGTCAAAAAGGGTCGATTGTTTATTTAATATGTCTCTAACAAATGAGTACTGCCTCTGTCAGCATTCTGTATTATACAAATGTTGTATATTAAACTAAACTAAAGACAATACTTTAAAACCTACAATAAAACTTTGTAGAAAACCTATCATTTGCTATCCTAAGACTCAAGGTTTATTTATATAAAAATAATTACATAAAGTGTTTAAAAATATATAAGAAATATAAATAATATAATAACTATAATAACTATAATAAATATATGTAATATAAGAGATATAAATAATATAATATATATAAGAAATATAAGAAATATAAATACTATAAGACATAGAAGACATATATGACATTTTAGTTATCACAATCATATATGTTACATGGGTCATCTATGTCTTTTTCATGTAATATTACTTCCTTCAAAATTTTATATCTTTATAAAAATATCAGCAGTCTTATCAATGAGGTCAATTATATTTAGCAATATTTAGATTTACAATCGTTTTTAAAGTAGTATGCCTTATTCTAGCAATCTGTTCCAATTCCAAGAATTCAAAAATATAATAAACTCAAATAGATACACGATAATAATATTTTGTAAGTTTCCTAGAGTATATTGATCATAAAATAGGATCCTCTTGGGTTTTTAGTAATTTTTCAAGATAAAAGGCATTAGTTAAGATTGAAACTCTATTATTCATTTGCTTGGCTCACAGTAACATTCATATACTAAAGAAAACTTCATATTCATAGTCATTGTATCATCATAGGGTAAGTCATAATATATTACTTCAGTTAGCAAAATCATTTACAGATCTTTATGTATTAATTGGAAATTATAAGAGAAGGTTTCTTCATATGTTAGAAGTATATTAGAAGTATATCAAAAGTATCAAAAGTTTTCATTTTTTCTTAATATTTGATTTTTATAATATCAAGGTTCTATTTATATAAATTTTTAAATATTTCTGAAACCTTTTAGGTTTTAGTTTTCTATTAATAAAATAAGTTCAGCATGCTAGTAATACTGTTTTAACCTTACACTATTTATTGATATTTTGAGGATCCTTCTAATCATAGTCCTTAATTTGTATACACCATTACCAAGATCAGTATAAATGTAATACAGTCCCTTCCAGTGATCTTCAAGTTTCTTTTTGTCATGAATATTACTTTTATACATTAAAACTAGGTCCTCCTACTTTGAATAGTTATACCTTTGATAGTTTTTTGTCATATCGTTCCTTTTGTTTTTATTGAAACTTTTGATATTTGATTATGCTTCATTAATTTTATAATCCATCCTTTCTGTTATTTGTTATATACAATTCAAAAGATCTATTATATCATTTGTTACTTGTGAAACTTGTACCACTGTTATTTATACTTGAAATTCTACTGGAAGCGTAGCGTTTCTTCTATAGGTCAAGTAGAATAATTCATATTTTGTAATACTATGTCATTTTGTTTGATAAGCAAATAATATTAAAAGAATAAAAGTATTCTAATCATTCTTATTATTATTAGTAAACTTCGCTAATGTTACATAGAGTTCAATTGAAATGTTCAACAAATCCATTTATTGTGAATGGTAAACAGTTGTCAACTTGTATTTTACTTCCAATTCTTTACATAGGGAATCTAATATTTCATTCACAAAATGAGTTTCCCTATCTGTTAATAATTCTTTTGCATATCTATGATGGCAAATTATGTTTTCATAAAAGAAAGGTATAACTGATGCTGCTTTTGCATTTAATAAAGCTTTCACTTCTGGCCATTTAGTCATATAGTCTATTGTCACAACTATATACTTATTTTCTTGCTTTGTTACAGGTAAGGGTCCTACTAAGATTGCTGGACGAAATTAAGAGTTTAGACAGACGTCTAAATAGTAAAAGTAAAACTTGGTTAAATTATATTAAAACCTTATTAAAAAATCTGCGAAATTTGGAAAAAGGTAAAACTATATCAAAGCTTATAAAAATGGCGAAACTATATCAAACACTTAGTAAAAATTTAGCAAAACTAAAGGTTTTACCATTTTTCCAAATCCAAAATGAGTTTAGATAAGCAACCTTAATTGTATCATTGATGCTCTTAGTTGCCAGCAGTTAATGATTAAGTGCAATGTAATTAATGAATACAGGGAGGTTACAAGTATAGCCTTTGTTTCATTATCAGATATGCATTATTTTGCAATAGGAATGAAAGTGAGCAATCTTTTAAGTGCTAATGTATGGCAGTTGGAAATTTTAACCAGTACAATTTCAGAGCGAACAGAAACAGAATCATTTCTAGGTACCTATGTCTTTCCACTAACAAAGAGACTCAAAAATAAACGTCCTGTAACTGGCTTAGATTTTGCATCATTATATTTGAGTCTTATTATGACTTACAACTTCTCACCCGATAAAATCATTTTATCTTGAAAACATGCTGAGTCTCTGAGAGATAGTGGCAAAATGCTTCATAAAATTAATTTCAAATTCAATGGTAATGATATTTTTGCATAGTCTATAAGACATAATAACATTTCTGAAGAAAAAGGTCTTTATGCCAATGTGTTGGAATATTTATATCGTAAACAGATTAAGGTGAAAAAATGTCTCGCTTCTTTGAAAGATAAAAAAGAAGACATTTAACTGGTAATAGGTTTAATGGGTAAAGGTTTATTATTACCAGAAGCTATTGAGCAGATTTTAGCAAATGTAGAGGGAAAAAATGTGACATTCTTAGTGAAAAACTATACCATTTTATTAATATAGAAAAGCATGAATTCATAGCAGAATACAATTCAGTTTGTTTTGACTATTCTTGTTTAGATGCGAAACAAAATGCTCTTAAGGTATACATGAATTCATTTTATGGTATAGCTGAAGATAGTAAGTTCCCTTTCTTCTTGCGTGAACTTGCTGGAGGTGTCACATTTACCAGGCAGAGAAATATTAAACTTGTTGCAGATTTCGTAAAAAAACAGGTCTTTCCAGATAAAATATGGTGATACCGATTCCTTATATCTAATCTGTCCAGAAGAATGCTTTCAGGAATGCGATAAGGCATATGACAGTGGTAATAGGATCTCAAAAGAAGAATATTGGTCTAAAATGGTAGAAATCTCTGTGAAAGTAATTGAAAAACTTCGTGATGATGTCAATGACTTTCTCAGAAAAGATAACGGTTCCCTTTATCTCAAAATGGCATATAAAGAAGTTTTATTCCTTGTAACATTTACTGGAAAGAAGAAATACTACGGTATTCTGCATGTAAAAGGGCCGAATTTTAATAACAAGCTTTTCATTCAGGTGGTTGAGACTATAAAATAGGAACAGTCTGTTATTTTTCACAAAATAAGAAAACATATTATGGAAGAGTCCACGAGAGTAAATAACACACGTATCTTGTATTAGGTTGTAGAGGATGTGCTCAAAGAGACTGTAAGGGATATTTCACAGACAGATCTTAATGAAATAATAAAAACTGCTGTATAGAGGACTGATAAAAATAACAAGAGTGTACAGCACTTTATTTTATGAATGCGAGATAGACATACCCATGAAGAGGCATGCCAAACAGCTCATAAAAAAGGGCCTAACATCCAAGCCTTATCTTTATGAAATCCCAGAATCAGATGAGCAGTTTGAATATGTTGTGGTTGAGAATGATTTATTACAGAAGGTAGATGACAAAATGGAATACCCAGAAGTGGTAAGACGTCTTGATAAAATGATTGATATTAAATATTATCTGAAAAGTGTTGTCGGGCTTTGTGTACGATTTATAAACTATGATGATAGACACCAGCCATCATCCGAAATTGTGCTGGAAACCTTAAAAAAGCTAAAAGATGGTAATAAAGCGGGCGACAATAAAGCGGATGACAATAGAATAGATGAAGATGACCTGGATGAAGACGAATAGGATGAAGACGAAATGGATAAAGACGAGGTATCAAAAATAAGAGATTCCTTAGCACAGAAATCAGCTGAAAGTGGGTTAGAGGCTATATCAAAAACCTTCATGAAGGCCCAAAAGAAGATGAAGCCATCATATCTCATCTATGGAAAGGAGTCCATATTTACGCAAAAAAATTATTTGATACTACTTATGCTGACAAGGAAGAACACCTAACTAGTAATGCTTATTACCAATCATTCCTCAATACGCCAAGCGGTTTGTCCTAGGACATATTAATATATTAATATATTAATATGTCTTAGGACAAACCGCTTGTACAAGATTAATTTGTCTTAGAACATTATAGTCTATTGATTAATATGTCCTAGGGCGTTATAATATATAAATTAATATGTCTTAGGGTGTTATAGTCTATTGATTAATATGTCCTAAAGATGGGGGTCTGCTTCCCTCTCTATGACCTATTGGTTAGTAATTATGGATGAACTGCACGCCTATTTGGTTGCCTTTTAAAATACTGAAATGGTGTAAAAAAAGAGGCGACGGTGGCGCGGTAGATTTGCGATTAATTTTGGCTGACATTATGTCATAAAAGTCCGATCTGCCGTAACGATCTTGGAGCGCAATTATCTCGACATCTACCAGCCCAATTTTGATGAGGATTGAACTACAGGATTCAGTAGGTTCAGATCTATCCAACAAGCCTAAATTCGTATAAATCCGATCAGTGGGTGTCGAGATATTATTCTTCAAAGTTCGGGCAAAAAAATATATACTCTTAGCCAATTAGATCGTCCGAATATAACTGCGTGATCATGTGACACCGCGTGGACTTCCGTTGGATGTCATGTGATACTGAGCCCTAAGGCCAACATTCTATTGCAATTTGAGTATCTCAGTAGCTATCAGTTATACCATGTATCTTACTCATGATTTTAGATCAGTTTAGTTTATATTGCCATTCTCTATTGCAGTTAAGAGGTTTTTTGATTCCTAGGGCAGAATTTTTACTGGACCACTTCCTAGGGCAGAGTTTGTTATAGGAGAAAGTGTTCTTTTTTCGATTCGACTTGTTCTTGTATTATCTTCCCTAGATTCCCTAGGTGGTCTAGTAAAAATAAAGTTCTAGGGAAAAAAATCGAATTTTTCTATGCTATCCTTTGGTATATATATTGGTATGCTATATATATATTATATATATATGTTATATATATGCTATATTTTTGCTATACCTTTTAAAAATAAAAATAAAAAGTAAAGAAGTCTGATTTTTTCTAGGTCACCTAGGGCACCTAGGGCAGACCATTCAAGAAATCATTCTAGCGTTCTAATAAAGTTAATTTGCTATTTCGCTTCTGCCTCTGGAAGTCAAAATTTTCCTAAGGCAGATTTTTCTAGGGCAGATTTTTCTAAGGCATTTAGCTTCTTCCTATGGTAATATGTTTTCGAATAATACTTATCTACATGTAAATTACACATACCATGGATTGAGGTAGTTAGACGATGAGTATGCTATTTTTTTACTGTCCTTATAAAATTAATACCAAATTTTCTTGAGGACGCTCTTGGGGACAATCTTGATATCATTTTTGGGTTTCTTACTTTGTTTTATTGAATTCTTTATTATCTGTCCTTAAGAACCCTATCAACCCTAAGAAATTTTAAAGTTCTAAAAAAAAAATCGAAATTTTTCTTCATCTGGAACTAAATGCGGAGTAAGATTCTGTAGATTTACGATTTTCGTAATATTTCAGAGTATTACGTTGTAAAACTACATGAGTTTACAAGTTTGTAAGATTTATGAAACATTACGGTGAAATCCTACGTAGGGTTATGGGTCGTATTTTTTACGTATTATTACGGTCAAAATCTTATGGTATCGTAAGATTTATGATACATTATGGTGAAATCCTACGTAAGGTTACAGGTCGTATTTTTTACGTAATATTACGGTCGAAATCTTACGTAGGGTTACAGTATCGTAAGATTTATGAAACATTACGGTGAAATCCTACGTAGGGTTACGAGATCGTACGAAATTTTACGTAGTAATACGATTTCCCATTATAAAATTAGTGATGCATGTATTGCACTATTTAATATATTCAATGAGAACAAACTTTGTATCTTTTATTGATTCATATATATTTTTAGCTTTTAAGAGATGTCAATTTTAAAATATTTAATTGCATATGTTCTAATGAAATAGCGTTAAATTCCTGTGTTAAAAATTATAATTCAAAATCGTATGCACATGTTAACATTAAATATATTTAATTCAGCATAAGTTTTAATTAAATTTCTGTATTAACAATATATAATTCAGAATTATATGCACATATTATAATAAAATAGTAAAATATAATTAAATTCTTATATTAAAAATATATAATCAGGAATGATGATCTCCTACTTTAAGCAGAAACCCGCAGATTTAGCAGATTTATGAAAATTAACGGATTATCACAGATTTTTAAAAAAACTGTGATCTATATACCAATTATATTAAATCTTTTTTTAAGGTTTATTAACTTTTTTTATAATTTTTTTGTGTTTAAAATATCAAGAAAAGTGACATACACTATGACCAGATGAAAAGAGTTTTTCAATATATAATAATTTTTTAGATAACAAATATTTTAATGTGAATTAATTTTGAACAAATTTTATAATAAAAAATATTTAGCAGATTTTAAAAATTGATATAAAAAATTGCGATGACGAATGATAATTGTAAGGGTCACTAAAACATTGCAGGTTTAGGGCAGATTTTACAAAATATCGCTGTAAGTGATCATCATATGCATAATGTTAAATAGCATTAAATATCATTAAATTTTAATTCACCATACGCATACATATTTTAGACGCATTAATTAAAATAATACAAGAATGAATTTTAAAAAAAAAATAATACTGTATTTTATTCTTTTTTTCACTTTTTGCATTATCCTTTTAAACCTTGCATTTTTTTTCTTCCGTATTATTCTCCTTTCTCTTTTTTTTATCTAATATGAACGCTTTGCAGAAGGTATTGTATTTGTATTATTCAATATGAAAAAGTTTATTTTAAAATTTTATATAAATATAACTTTGGTTTTAACTATCTCAAAAATCAAAAAAAAAGTACTTTCATAACAAATTATTAATTCCTTTAAATCTATAAAATTTAAAATGCCTTTCGTTAATAAATATCTTTGTGCTAAACAATTCAGCACTAAACAAATGAATTTTTTGACAATTTATGATGAATACATTATGACTCTGGATTATATAAAAAGTAACATAAATCATATCGATAAATATGAATATAACCGTCTATTTAACTTAATAGCATTAATTCTCTTTGAGAACAATAACGACTATGTCGAAAAATATAAAAATAAAATTTAATTTATATTATTAATTGAGTAGCGAGGTCCAGTTCATACCAAATATCAGCTGGAGACTCAAGATTATGAAAATATTTTTTTTTATTTTATTTTTATTTTTATTTTTATATTATTATATATATATATATATTTTTTATTTAATTGAATATGAGGCCCAGTTCGTACCAAATATTAGCTAGAGACTCAAGTTTTCAAAATTCTTTTTTTTATTTTATTTTTTTATTATTTTATATTTTTTCATATTTTTTTTAATATATTTAATTGAGTAGCGAGGCCTAGTTCATACCAAATATCGGCTGAAGACTCAAGTTTTCAAAATTCTTTTTTTTATTTTATTTTTTTTTTATTTTATATTTTTTTATATTTTTTTAATATATTTAATTGAGTAGCGAGGTCAAGTTCATACCAAATATCAGCTGAAGATACAAGGTTTCGAAAATAATCATTTTTTTTAAATTTATTTTATTTATTTTTTTTTTTATATATTTATTTATTTTATAATTAATTAATTAGCGAGGCCCAGTTCATACCAAATATCAGCTAGATACTCAAATTATCAAAATTATTTTTTTTATTTTATTTTTTTTATTTTATATTATTCATATTTTTTTTTAATATATTTAATTGAGTAGTGAGGTCCAGTTCGTATCAAATATCGGCTGGAAACTCAAGATTTCAAAAATAATTTTTTTTTTAAATTCATTTTATTTTTTTATTTTTTTTATATATTTATTTATTTTATAATTAATCAATTGAGTAGCGAGGTCCAGTTCATATCAAATATCGGCTGAAGATTCAAGTTTTTGAAATTCTTTTTTTATTCAATTTTTTTATTTATTTTTTATGTTTTTTTTATTTTATATATAATTAATTGAGTAGTGAGACCCAGTATATATCATTGATCAGCTGGAGACTCAAGCTTTTTTAAAAAATAATTTGTATATAATATGCATTATATAGTATTAATAAAATTATTACTTTTATACGAATATA